GAGCAATCACCTGGACCTTTGACACCCCCTAAAAATTTGTTTCATCCACATTTCCAGCATGTGATGATGTGAGGTGCTCTCTCAATTCAAAATAAATTCTTTTCCTACACCAGTTGGCCACACCCCTCACACCCTTGTCTCACACCCCCAGGGGTGAAAACACCTCAGGTTGGGTACCCGGGAACTAAATGAAGATCAACTTACCGTTTTTATCAATATAATCACAGAGTTTTTTAACAACTAGAGGTACCCTATATTCTGGTGGAGCTCTCTTCATTAAATCTTCTAGTGGTACTCCAAATGTTTTATTAGAATTATTTCCAATTAGTTTTCTTTTGGTCCCAGGGCTGATCAGACGTTTTACCCTTTCCATATTACTCGTGGCATTCAGCCCCTTTTCACTGCCCTGAAAATATAAAATACAAATACTTAGTCCAAATTCACAACCTCATTAGAAGCTAGGGACATCTAATGATTGAGAAGGAGGCGAAAATGAAACGATCAACTTGACCTTCACTGCCTTTAAAGGGACATTTCACTTTTGTTTGTAGTTCAAAAATTCTTTTTACTCAAATTTGTGAAAACTATACACCAAAATCTACAGAATTGTGCCCTTTAAGAGATCTGAAAGTTTTAACGTAAAAAATGCAACCGTTTCAGTTTGATCAATAAGATCCATAAATATAAATAGCATACTGCAAAATTGTGCAGGGGCCGTGTATTCTTGAAAACTTAATCTAGATGATTCTAGTGTAAAAGTCATCTGATTGGTCAATCACTAAAATTGATTTTATATTTAGTTTTATCATCCAATCAGATTACTGTATTTCTTAAAATCTGGATTTTATCTGATTTAAATCTCTAAGAATAAGGCCCCAGTTCAGTATTATATCAAATAACCTTAACTGGTATGAAAAATGTAACGTTTTAATGAGTGTAGGGTAATCATTTAGTTAGAATTTGTTTCCGTTTGTTTCTATTTTCTGAAAGAAGCTTTAGCCACGTTATATTGGCTCATGTTTTTAGATCTAGATCAATGCCATGCAGTCAATTTTCTTGATAACGTGACAAACTTTTTAAAATTACAGAGGCTGTCAATCTCACAACTAGTCATTGTTATCATGTTAAACAGATTCTTCATGAAACGCTTTGATTGGTTAAACAGTCATTAGACAATAGAACAGTACTGCAGTATAAAAACTTGTTCGATTTCAATGGAGACAACAATATCAAC